TTAATGTAGCAATATTTTCCAAAAGTACCCACATTTCTAATTAGTTTTCCATCTCTATATATTTCCATATGTGGGTAAGAAACATTGCCTGTTTAATGTACAACACCAAGTTTCGCCTTCGTTTATGGGTCAAAACTCACAACAAACAGAAATTACCTTGATATGCTTAGTCATTGAAGGTAGACCTACAAAAATGTGAAAACTACATTAAATGAAAATTACATTACAGCAACAAATTGCTACACTGCTTTCATGTAACATTACGGCACATGGACTATGAATCCCAGGTAACTTATAAAAAATCATCCATTATTAAAACTCTCGTTATGTCTCCTTTCTCTCTTTACAACAACAATAGGCATCATAACAAGATGCATATTAAGCTAAATGGGTGACAATAATCTCCAAACTAGCTTTGTGACATTTCAAGGTTACATTCTCCATTTCCTCTGACTCATTTCAAGCACAACACAGCTGGTCCAGCTGAAACCATGCAAACTAAGATCTGAAGAAACTACTCTGCACCATATTGACACATTTAGAACGAAAGATGATGAAATTCAGTACTATGCTGATCGATCTAAATACCTAAACCTACTGGCTTATGAATATTTGATTCTCATTAGCCTCACTCATCTGCATGCATTTTTTGGCTTGTCCACTATTAGCATTATATGTGGCCACTGACTACCAAAATACAGTTAAAGTTAGAATTATTAGCAGCCCTCAATTATTAGCCCTTGTTTATTTTTTCCCCCAATTTCTGTTTAACGGAGAGAATATTTTTTCAACACATTTCTAAATACAATAAATTTAATAACTCATTTCTAATAACTGGGCTATTTTATCTGCCATGATGACAGTTATTAATATTGTACTATATATTTTTAGAGACATTTCTATACAGCTTAAAGTGACATTTAAAGCCTTAACTAGGTTGATTAGGTTAACTAGGCAAGTTAGGGTAATTAGGCAAGTTATTTTTTAACGATGGAAGGTTCTGTAGACTATCAAAAAAAAAATAGCCTAATGGGGCTAATAATTTTGACCTTAAAATGTTTTTTAAAAATGAAAAACTGCTTTTATTCTAGCCGTAATAAAACAAAAAAAGATTTTCTCCATTAGAAAAAATATTATTAGACATTCTGTGAAAATTTCCTGAATCTGTTAAACATCATTTGGAAAATATTTATACAAACTTCACATAAAATAAAAAACTGCATATTATAACAATGTATATATAACAATATACATATAATTATTATATTACAATGTAAAGTACTTTAAACATTTCTTTCAGGGGAAAAAAATCAAAACGCTAAAACAACATTTTAAAATCTATGAAACATGTTTAAAGATAACAAAATGTCAACCCAAAATATCATCATATGCAAATAAATGATAACACCTTTCCTCAGAAGTGCACATGTTGGACGTAATTTTTGTACTACTACCCCAAATCCTTATTTTTTCTTTATTTCAAATGAACAAAAACACATCAATGCAGTAATTGTGAAACAAAGGCAACATCTATAAAAAGTTCTCACAATTGTCACCTCTACTTTGTAGATTACATTGTGAATTGTTGACTGTTATTACGAACATGTTCACTAACATAACCAAAGCGATCCGTTATACTAACGTTATATATTACACGAAATCCATAGTTTACTCATTACAAACCTAGCGTATTGGCTTTAAAATATAAAATAATATCATATAAGTTACAGTGTTGTGTATTGTAAAACGTACTTTATCTGAAAGCTGAAACACTGTATGCACGCAAACAACATGCATTCATTACAAAAATGAACGAGAACAAAACTTTTACAAAGAGGGCGACATATTCTAAATCACATATCGCTAAATCTGTTATAAGTACGTGATTCTGTATATTGCTGACAGATCGATAAGCATTGAAACGTGATATTTTAAATCAGAAACGGAGTCTGAAATCTCTAACCATTCGCGTGTTTCATTCAATCTTACCTCTTCCTGAAAGCGCCGCGTGTTTTGCGTCATGACGTCACTGCGCGTCATTTCGCACTCCAGCGTCGTTCTGTCGTTTGCAGGCTCGTTCGTCACACCTCGTAAGAAAAAGACGTGGGACGTTTTATTTTTTGCGGGGTAAAGCAGCTACTAAAGATCATCTATTAAAATTAGGTTTTGATTTCAACATTAACATACATTATATAATATAATTAGTAAATAAATGTTTGGGAGAGGATTTCAGGCTGGGAAACCCGTGTTATATTAGCTTAAGTCGGCTTTTGGAACACAGTTGCTGGTTTATGTTCAGAGGTTGTTTACTAACCCTATCCAGCTTGATCAAGGTCTACAAGGTTGATCTCTGCCCTGCCAGCTGGTTGTCCAGCTGATCCATCATTTATATCAGCTTGGGCCAGGCAATGACCATAAATGACCAGCTTGGTTTTGCCAGAATCCATATAAAACCTAATTTTGTTGGTAGTTTTTCTTTTCTTTTTCTTTTTTTTTTTTGTACTTAGTGCTGTTATAGCCTACTGCATGTTAGACCATGATGCACAATTGTGTGTGGCTTTTTTAATTAACAAATTTTTATTTTAAAAATGAAACAAATATTATATCCAGGGTTTCTACAGGTTTCATCAAGTAAAATGCAACATTTTAAAGAGCTTTTTAACACCATTATTAATGAAATTTCATACTTACAAGGCTAAACGCTAAGGATTTTTTTTCAACTGGCCTAGTTAAAACATTAAAAAAAACATTTAAAAAAATGTTATTGTAATGAAAATAATTAAACCAAATGTTTACAAACAGAAAGAGTTGGTAAATAGAGTTATTAAATAAGAGTTAATATATGAACGTTTGTTAAAACTTTTAATGAGATGGCCTGATTGGGTATAGCTTTACATGGACAGGAAAATGAAGGCCTACAACACAATATGTCAGTGAATTTAAAACTTTAAGGCCTAAAATTCTGATTCTAAAACTTTTTTCTGACATTTAAAGACCCTGCAAATACGCTGCATATCACATTTGACTCCATCCCCGTATAATAAATCACCTCATTATTTTATGTCAGTACCTACCTTTTGCATTCAGTTTCTAACATACAAACATGTATTCAGGCCATCCATCAAATAGTGTAAAAGTAATATTGATTGATTAGTTATTGATTGATAAGAGTGAAGCTAGAACCACAGATGCACTATATACAATAACAGTAAATTATATTTTAACATTTTGAATTTTATTTTTGTGTTTTAGTATTGATTTTTATGTAGAGTAGTTTTAACTGTTTTTTTATTCTGCCGTTGTTACGTTATTAGTTTTTAAAATGGCATCATTTTAAAATAATGTTTTATTAAATGTGTTTTTTTTTTTTTTTTTTTTTGAGTACAAGTTAAAGTAAATGAAAAGGAGAAATTGGCATCATGGAATTATAATGTTCTATCTGCATTTTTACCTTCCATATAGAAAAACTTTTATGGGAATACATTTTTTTATTAAATAAATTTAATATTTTTTTAAATAAAAAAGACCCAAACGCACACTAAACTAAATAATAATTATTAATGTAATTAATCATATAAATAATAAAAAAATTGCATCCTAGTTTTTTTTTATTTCAGACATAATCTTATAATTACAAGGTGACCAAATATTTATGTCAACTGAGTTTAAATAAGTCAAAGCTTTTTGTATTGTTTTATATGATAAAATGCATTATTTTCATTTTATATAATTTATTTACAAATAGAAAAAATGGTTCAATGTTATGCCTTTTCACTCTAATAACCTTGTACTACTTAAAAATAGTAGACAATTTCAACAAGTCAAGATTTATTTTATAATGACCATAATAAATATGCCTTTTATTTATTTGAATGTCTGTGTTTAAAGGGCGCATGATTGCTAGGTCACTTGGCATTTCTTTTCCGTTTGCACGTTCTCCCAATGTTCGCATGGATTTCCTCCAGGTCTTTACCCACCTCATAAAGATGAGATGTTACAAAACATCAACATGGTGGGAGTAAATATCAACATCGATGTAAATGGCCTTGGTAAGTGTGTGTTTAATTAACGCTTTGTGAATTGAGTGTAGATAAACTACAGTGTGGTCAAATAACCACTTATTAAAGATGAAAAACAGCACGTCCAAAACAACTACAACGACACTCTCTGACCAAATCACTTACACTTTAGTGAATCAAATCTGCGTGCTAGTTAGCATATTATATGGTGGAAATGAAGTCTCTCTAATTTTATCATTCATCGTCAGTATGGGAACGTTTAAATGGGTTTCCCACTTCCACTAACTCCAAGTTACTCATCAATATTTAAACAGCAGAGAAAATGCGTATCGCAAAAGAATGTAGCTAACATATAAGTACTAAGCGGGTCAATTTGACAGGCCCTTTATACAGTAACCTTAGCTACTAAAACGAAATGAACTGTACATCCCTGCAGGGAGAAAAGTGTCTTGAATAGTTCCTTGAAAATTAAACTTGAGATGAGTATGTGAGTTGAGAAAATTAGCAAGGTCATGGTTAATGGAACTCCTTAGAGTTCCAGAGTCGAGACTTCACAGTCAGTTTGGCAGCCTGCAGCTGATGTTAATTTAGCGCAACCCAACATCATTCAACTTCAAAGAGACTAATAGAAGGCTATCATACTGTGAGAGACTTTGATAAGGTGGATTATATTGCTATGTGTAATCCACATCAAAAGGTAAAGGTTCCAGTAATTAATTAAATGATAGCACAGAAAAATGATACTACGCAGAGAATATTAAAGTCTGATGGCCATTTCTCTCACATTTATGAAGGTGGATGACACTACTTAATACACACGTTCACATGCATACATTATTATATCTGAGATACTAAAGTGCCGACTGCTTGAATATTTTCCCCCTTGGATATTCTTCATTTAATATAATAATTGACATGTGTGGATATCTGTCAGTGTGTGCGTGAATTGAAGTGACATGCTGAGTGAGATGTTACACAGGCTTTCAAAATTAAATTGGGCTACATTTATTCGAGCAAGTTCGTTTTCAAGAGAAATTACAAATTAAAAATTAAATTATATTCAACAGACATTTCAAAAAATCCCAACAACCACAGCCCCCCTTTATTTCTTTAGCTAAAAAAAAGGGAAAAAAAGGAAAAACAAATAAGATGAATAAAGTGGAATTTTTTTTTCCTTTCAGTCAAAAATACAGTGTTTTCACAATATTGTATCAAAAGTTCCCAAATTGTAGATTCTCCTTCATCAGATAAGTGTAGTATGAAGAGCAACTCACAGCGATTGCTCCCGATACAATAAATGCTCTCTTTACGTAAAATTTGCTCCACTTTTAAGGATCCTTATTTACTAAAATATATCTATATCAAGGAACTATAATACTGTACACTACAGTATGAAATAAATATAATTAGGAAATATAAAATGAGTCACATAAATAAAATGGTAGTTTAAAATAAAAACGAATTTTGTATTGAACAAAACAAAAAACAAACCAAGATAATACTGACAGATGATCTTAAAATAAAAAATAAAAATACAGAAAATTGCACAAACAATATGTAAACTAAACAACTGCAGTCTAGATATACTAATACTGACGTAGGTATTTCAAACGACAAGGTGAAATAGTTCTTTTAATACTAAAGCAGGTGCAAAGAGAACACTAGTTGACTTCGCTTTATACTGTACAAGGATGGCACTTGCAGAAAACACAGGTGAAAGGGTTTGCATATAAGGCTTTTCTCGAACGAAAAACAAAATAGAAATAAAACACAGGGGTTCTGACATTGCCTCATACAATGAGCCTCCGTCAATAGTTACCCAGACTCTTTCCGTCCACCCCTGGCCAACTTTAAGACTTTGTACGTTTAAGAATCATATAGGTATTATTTAGTTAATGTCGCTTCATAAAAAAAAGCCATGGTGAGACGCCAAACTCAAATGGCTGGTCAGGAAAAGAAAGGTAAAACCAAGGGTATCACAGTAAGTGATAGACGAAATATAACACTGACACACCACTGCGTCTTCAAGCGCAGTATAAGTACATATAGGCAATGTTTTCTTCTCTCTGTTTTTTTTTTTTTTTTTACCTTTTTGTTCGTTTAATTTTTTGTGTTTTTTATTTTTCCTTTTTTCTCACACTTGTTGTTTCTTTTTTTATTTTCAGAGTGCAATTTCCAGGCTTGTGCTACGACCACAATGAAACACAGGAGTTATACGGAAATCAGCACCGCACAGCTTTCTGGTTGAAAACTCTGTACAATTTAAAAACCTCTTTTGTTTTTCATTCTGACAATCGTCTTCACTTGTGTTTTTGCATAATATGGATTCCTTCATGTGAGGCCTGATTTTGGAGTTCCACTCTTTGTTTTTGTCGAGTGCGAGTCTCAGGCGCACACCCAAGACGTGGCAGTGTGTGTGGTTTAATTGTGAATCTGGCTCAAAGTCCCTCCAAAAGGAGCGGAAGAAGGGTGCGATGCAAGCTTTTGAGTAAACGAAAAAGAAGCTTATTCCGAAATGCAGTAGTTAATCGGCATCCTCGTTCTCGCCGTCATGGTTTCTTTTCCCCTCCTCCGAGCTTTCGTCCTCTGTCCCTCCAGTCACTTCACTCTCTTTCTCATCTTTTGCTGTCCCATCAGGGCTACGAGTGTCAAACCTCTGCCCCTCCATTTCCTCTTCCCCCATCAAACCTGTCTCTTGTCTGTCAGTCACTTCCGCATACGTCTCTTCCGTCTCCCTTGCCCCGCTCTCAGTGCCGTCTCTTAAGATGGTGTTTTCTCGTGTGATGTCCTCAGCCTGATCCTCTGGATCTGAAAAGCCCAGAGGCCCAAGGCCTTGCAGGTAAGCCCGCCGCATCAGGAGCTCTGTGGGCTCCAGGGGTCCACCATTGTTGTGGTTTTCTTGCTTGGCCGCCTCACGCTCCTCCGCTTCCCGCTTGCAGTAGGAATATCGGTGGTTCATGTGCTGCGAGTAAGAGCCGGAGTGGGAGAAGCGCTTGCCACATTTGTCGCACTGGTAAGGTTTCTCGCCCGAGTGTAGGCGCGAGTGCTCGATGAGGTGGTGCTTGTGTTTGAAGGCCTTCTTGCAAATCTGGCACTGGTGAGGCCGCTTTCCTGCGGAGACACAAGGAGAGAGGAGCAAAGAGGTTAGCAAAGCATCTATAATATCTTAAAGCTATAAAAAAAGCAATTTGAGAATTCTCTCTGTGGATTATGTACTATATCTCAATATATTGTTTGAAGTGTTGGGTAAAAAAATAAAACTTTTTTTTTTAAAGTAACCAAATGTGTTACTTCGTTTTTAAAGAAAGTAATGTAAATAAAGGTTTGTTTTTTAAAGATTACGATTGTAATATTTTACTTTTTTTACCCAACGCTGATTGTATGCAATAAATGTCTTGTAATACAGTCACAATTTACTAGGACACAAATCTTTCAAGTAACCACACAAATCCCTCCTCAATTGTACCTCATGTAGAAATGAAAATAGATGATATATAAAAAATGTTTGAGACTAGTTTGGGGGTAAAAGTAATGGTAACGCTTTAGTATAGTGACCAATTACATAGTGTGTTTTATTACCTGCCTATTATAAGGGCTGTTTATTAGTAATCTGCTTGTTAAGTGTGACATCTTGCGAGGCGGATTCGGGATCCAATCATTATATCAAACTGTATAGACTCAACATATGGTAATAATAGCTTTTACAAAGTGATGTAATACTTTCGAAAATCACCAAATTATGAGCAATATATGTCCATGCTTAATATCCGATGGCCAGAAAAGGGTTAATTTTTAAAAAAATTGTTACAATGTTGCAATTTGTGATGCAGTAAGCATGATGATTGTGTGCACTATGATTTTATATAAAGTTCACTTTAATATGTGACATGACTAAAAAGTTGTCATAAATGAATATTTTGTCTTTCATATGTCACCGACTCATCACAACTTAGGAAGCGGATATAAAGTATACATTCTTTGTGATCTTATTTTACATTCCTAATCCTACACAATACCTAAACCCAACTACTACCTTAATAACTATTACAAAGCAGTGAATTTGGAGTTTATTGAGATAACAGTCATAGTCAATGGCTTCTTAATGGTAAGAATTGTATCTTAAAATAAAGTGTGGCCAAAACAATATTAAAAAGAACCTCCTTCATATTAAGCAGTGACAAACCCCAGTGATTTATTTTAGATGCTACCAAAAACAGTGCAGAGAGGTGAGGGGGAAGCCACAGTCCTGAGGTGCTATTCTGAGGCTGTCTGTGACTGTTCTGAATGCAGCCAAGAAGATCAGGTGATTATCGCTCCATGCCGCACAAGGTGAAAGTGAGGCAGTCAGCATCCCTGACAGAGTTTATGACATCATGTCTCGGGATTCGAAAATGCTTAGATAAGACATCTGCCTCGTGATGCCTTGTGTAACCCATACACCAAACACCTCAGCTCCCGCACACCTTCCTCTTTCCCTTAGCCTGGATTGCATTGTCTACTTTCGGAAACTAGGACAAATTAATTGTACTCTAATCAGCGAAGTAGGAGGGACTTGCCATTTGGCATTCAGTAATTCTACCAGTAACACACTTGCCATAAAAATCCACACACTCGCCATCGGCTCCAAGCACATGAACAGATGTACTATATTCTTGGCCATGAATAGCCCTGGCATGCCTGCAACACCTTCCATAGCAGCCATACTTGAGATGGTCCCCTTCCCCACCTCCCCTCATCAAGTTCAAAAATAGACGAGATGGCAGATTCCTCTCTATGAATTCCGACCGAAGAATGCAAGTGAGGATGATGCAAACGTGTGAAAGAGAGGAGTCCCCCAGGAGGGTAGGTCACAATGTGGCATAGAAATGCCTCGCACACATCAGGCTTTCATACACCTGGCATACTGCGCCATGTTGGCATGCCAGCAAACTCTACTGACAATGTGTCTCCATATCGACTGATGGTCCAAATGCTTCATTTAAAATCAGTGCGAGAGTGCTTCGTTAAACAAAACATATATAGAGGATCTTTTATGTGTGTGTATCTGCAGCTCAAAGAGTAATTATTATATATATTTTAGCTGAATTTTTAAATATTTCCCCTGTCAAAAGGAAGAAAACCGTTACACCTTTGTAATGGGTTTGAAATGTACAACAAAAATATGGCAATGGACAGAAAAAAAGTAGGTATGAAAAAAATTAAAGCAGAAAAGGAATGAAAGAAACAAGAAAAAAACACAATGTGGTAAAAAGGGATTACTTTGGAGGGGGGATGGACGAGGGTAAAAAAAAAAGAGTTGTCTAAATGTGATATACCTGTGTGCTCATATTTGTGTCTTAGGAGGGAACTGGTCTTCTGGAATGTTTTGTCGCACAAGTCACACGCGTACATACCACTTTCAGTCTTCTTAATCTTCTTCCGGGCGAGAAGCGACTCGCTGTCTGTCAGGTCCTCTAGCCCTGACAGATAGTCCCCAGCACTGTCCAGTAGATCCCCCTGCAAAAGAAACAGATTTTAGACACTTCATACAATCCTAACCTGCCACAAATCCTAATCTTAACCTGCCACCTAGGAAGAGACAGCCCCGCAGCCCCTGCCCCATGTTTGATCCCAAGTCTGGACAGAGCTTATCTCTGTAACCTGTATAAGATCTTTATCTTATGTCTCAAAAAAGGGACATATGGCTTGATATTGAGAGGAGTTCTTTCAGTTCAGTAAACAGAGTAGAAAGAACTCATATAAATAACAGTAGGTTATACTGCATTTTGTGATCTTAACCAAAACAATAAATAACAAATTGTAAATAAAACAATTCTAGATTTTGATGTAAAATTAAGCATATCAATTAAACACACTCACACATACATATTTGTTTTCCTTTAGTTAAATGCATGATAATACATTGCATTGTTGTTTGATGTATTAAAATGTAACATTAATACACAGAGAATCTTATTCCTAGTACCATAATATTTAACATACCTGGAAGCCTTGTTTCCGCTGGTATTTCCGACGTTGCTGCATCTCAGCAAAGGTGGCTGCTCCTGCTGCGTAAGTATAAGCCATAGGTGGTAGAAAACTCATGGGATCCAGCCCTGGGTAAGGCCTTAGACCCGGTATGCTGGCTTGAGTCGTTGACATGAAAGTGGGTGGAGGGAATGCGCCATGTGGTGGAAGAGAGGTGTACATGTGGCCTCCACCAAAGGGGTTTATGCTAAAGATGGGACTTGAGCTTTTATCCATCTGATTTTCATTGCCCAAACTGTTGGGTCCATTGAACTCCTTCTTGATGTGGGCCAAATTTAAAGGCTCTGTTCCTGGTTCACGTGCAGTGGAATTACTAGTGTGTTCAATAGAAAAACCATTCGGTTTGGCCCTCCGTTCTGCCTTGGAAACTTGTTTTGGCAAAGACAAGTCTAGTGGTTCCCCGTGGGCATCCTCAGAGGTGAGGCTGTTAGGCGTGTATGAACTGCTATGTGAGTGTTTGGATGATGATGATGAGAGGTTCAAAGGTGAGGGTGTCTCCCCTCTCAAGTGGTCCACAGAGTCAAGTGGCTTTTCATTGGTCTGCCTGGTGCCTGTAATCTGATGTGTTCTGGACAACTTGTGCCCTGAATCCCCATTGGTGATGGCTTGGATCTCTGCTGTTGAGTCGCCATATTGCCCCAAAGAAACCGGTGACCGGGCAAATGCTGAATCCCTGACATGGTTGGTCTCTCCACTTCGCTCAGGAGGAGGAGATCTTTTCCTAGAGAAGCTATGGTGAGATTGGGCTTTCCATTGAACAAATGCATCCTTCACAAACTCCTGAGGAAGACCCACTGCCATAGAGATCTTCCTCAGTTCCTCTGAGTTGGGTTCAGTGTTCATGGAAAAGTAGACGTTCAGTAATGACATGTGATCCTTGTAGGGGTTGACTGGGCTGGTGGCATTCCTCTCGAGGGATGAGGAGATCACACCAGCCTGCTGCTCTGAGCCGAAAAGCCCCCTGCGACCAGTTGGTACAGTATCATTAGGTTTGAGGACAGCCTTGATCTCCTCGTTCATCTTGCAGAGATAGCGCTCGTGTTGATGTAATGGAATAGGGCCAGAAAATGTCTCTTTGCAATACTGACAAGAGAAAGGTGCGTACTGTGCATCCCTCTCCAGTGCTTTGTCTTCAGATAGAAGATCCATGGCGTGGCTTGGTCTTTCTTTCTTGATATCCATGAGCCGCCTCTTGGAATCTTCTGTTAAGCTCTGGAGACATGCTTTGGCTTCATTGACTTTTTCCAGTGTGTAGTCAATGATGGTCTTGGTGGGACTGTTGTGACCAACGCCAAGGAAGCTTTGCTGTGAGGCCAGTACCCGATTCTGCTCCTCCATCTGGGAGCCTAATTCCTTCATGTATGCTCGAAGCTTAGAGATCTCTTCAGGGTTGCCATCCATTTTTTGCCTGCAAACTGTGTTGTCCACAATCTGAAGCACCTTCTGAACCTCACTCATGTTGTTGATGAACCCTGTATAGCCCAGTGGATGAGAATCTGACCCGATACCCAGATGTTGCAATGGGTTCTGAGATGAGCTGTGCATCCCCGGAGGACTACCTCCACGGCCACCTCCATTGAGAAAGGCTCCCGACGCACCATATTCTTGTTGAGATGCAATCATGAGACGGTACTCATTGAAGTCCATGGGTTCAGACTTGATGTCTGTGTGAGCGGATGGGTCTTGGAGGCTCATGGACCTGCCGTTCTCCAGTTTGTGACGGAGCTGAGCTAAGGCAGGACTGCCAGGAGAGGATGCAGCAGAGTTTGGTGATGAGCCAGGCTTGTTGTTGACTCCATGGCGCACCCGTCCATTAATGGAGATAAGGCCAATGCACTTCTTGCTACTTATGTGGGAGCTGTAGGAGCCAGAGTGGGAGAAACGCTTCTTGCAGTTGGAGCACTCATATGGCTTCTCACCTTTAAAAAGAAATAATAAAAGGGCCTTAATTTTTACTGCATAAATACACCAATTAAGCAATAACCTTTACATATTTTTCACATTAAGTTGGACTTGCATTAAACTTCTTCCCCATCTCATTATTCAACTCAGTGATTGATAGGATGATGGGATCCTACAATAAAAATAACTCTTGAATAATTATATAATTATGGTTTTAAATATTCATCATCTATCCAGACTATCCAAACCACACTAAATTACCATCAGGCAAATTAGAAACATATGGTATAACATTGTATACATTACTGGCATTCTTTTGACAGCACTTATGAAACACTTACCACTGTGAATCCGGAGGTGCTCCTTCAAATGATGCTTGTATTTAAAGGCTTTGCCGCACTCTGTGCATTTAAATTTGCGATTGCCAGCCCCTTCATTTAGCAGTTGAGGCTGCAAGGGAGAGAAAGAATACAGAAATTGATACAGGTAGAAAAAATAAGAGTTCGTTCTGTTCATAAAACTGCTTATGAATATGTATTTATGCAAATTAGACACAGAAAGCATTCCAGAATTATATTTAGCCATGTGTACCCAAGGCTGCTGAAGCAACAGTTCGTCATAATTAACTTAAATATGACATAATTAACTTGGATCACATGATCGCACAAATAGTGATAACTTTGAAACTTTCTCAGTGCATCTTTCATTAAAATACTAGCTAAAGAACATACTTCATACATCTATTGTCTGCGTTTAGTTACAGTGTAGGCTGCATCTGTATTCGCCAATCAAAGTTAAACGTAGGTGCTCTTTCACCATTTGAAATTCAAATGTGGGCCCCAGATGCACAACAAAAACAACAGCATTCACCCTGCACCCCACACACAGACACAAAAGGTCTGTGAAAAATGTGTGGGAGTCCACAAGTGCACGTTTAATAGTCACTATGTACAGTACTATGCTGAAGTTCTTTCTCCAAAAGTTCAGTCACACGCTCATGTACAGTACACAGGCCAGTTTGAGATATGTTAAAGGTCTTGTTCACTGTAGGGGTGTATGCAAATGTGTACACAGGCAGGACACACATTGAAATGTAGCAAGGTGAACCTAGGAATCAATGTTCAAAGCCTTCAGGAAAAGACCCCTTTAGAGCAAATAAACAAACACTTAAAGTCATTTAAGGATTAGGATACTCTAGATCACCAGGAAAAAAGCCATCTGGTCGTGTTTAATTCAGTCTGGAGAGGTGCACGAGTGTGTATGTGTGTGTATGTGTGCATATGTGTGAGTGTGAATCAGCCAGTAAGATGAGAGTATAGAGTAAGTATCTTGAGTGTTTCCAATGTTTTCAAGTCTGCTTAAGGTTCAAAGTTGAAAGCTTGAATGCAGGATATCCTGATATAATCCTATCAAACAATTGAGAACCCTTTCACCACATCAAAAGCAGACCTTTTCCTTCGGAAATAAAGCAATATAGAGTTTCCTCTTCACAATAAATCCATATCGCTGCATTTTTTCACAGCATTCTTATATTGAGATTGGCCTATAAGGCTGAATTAACATCAGCTTTGCCTGCGTCTTTGGACTTGACTTTTCTCCAACAGCTGATGCGAGAAGTCAGCAGGCCTATAGGACTCGGTGTGCTAGAACAGCCCACACATGGCCGGCTGTGGGTGGACACTCAGGGGAGTATGACACTGCACAGCTGTGGCTCCGGTGTGAAGGATTCAAGTATTAAGGAGCTTCCGGAGCTGCTTGTTCAATGCAGGAACTATCAACAGGCTAAAGCATGTTCCCTCCTTTGGCATGTGCTTCAGGAAAACAGTCGGATTTCATCTGAATTTCTTTCCACCTTTTCCTATTTCATGATGCTTTGCATTAATAATGGAAGTAATTTCCATAAAAGTGTAACCAATCTGTGCAAAATTATAAATAAATAAAATACAACAAGGTGGTATTATTCTCATCACAATCTATCCATAGAATATTAAAATGCATCTGATTAGAAATAACTAATTAGGTACCGTTAAGCACTCCAGGAATAACATCTATGTCTTTCCAGGGTATTTTTATTCTATGTAGATGTGATCCTTCAGTACATATGATATTACTGTATAACAGTTAATCAGTTTAAAGGTAAATTTTTCTGAAATTTAGATTTTTACATCATCTAAAAAGCTGAATAAATAAATAGTTGTTTGACGAATGTACAACTATTTGAACATCTAGAATCTAAAGGCACAAAAAAATGAAATAATTACAAAAGCAGTGCTTAGTAATGCATATTACTAATTGAAAATTACGCTTAATGTATTTAAATTAGGATGTTTAAAATATCTTAATCTTTACTTAATATTCAAGGTATTTTAGACATAAAAGAAAAGTTTATATCTCATACACATATAGTGTATTTTTGGAATGTATTTTTGCAACAAAACACACTCAAAAATAATAATGTCATTTTCAAATACCAAGTGTGACATCATTTTCATAATGCACAAAGCTAAATGTAGCTCTCATTCTGTTTTCACTATGTATATGAATTATTTGCAACTCAATTTTAATAAGGTGATTTGATTCATTTCTTATAAATATAAGTTTCTCAAACTGAATATGCAATGCATCATTTGAAACAAAGAAAAGGGTGGACAATAATGCTAAAAAAAACATGAGTGAGGAGCACTGAGTGTGTGTACTGACTGAGGTAAACCTCATCTCACCTGATCTCTGGCAGGTTTATGTGTGGCCATATGGCGCTCTAGCTGGGTGCGGTAGGCGAAGGTGTCACTGCACAGGGGACAGGGGAAGCTCTCATCGTTTTTCTCATGTCGGTACTTGATGTGCTCCTTCAGGGAGGTCAGTCGCTTGTAGCCCCGGTCACAGTAGGGGCAGGTCAACAGTTGGGCAAAGGCATCTGGCGTCCTCAGTGCCAGATCTGGGCAAAATTGAAAGGAGTGCACACAGTGAAGGAGGGGGGATTGAGAAAAAAAGCATATGTAGGACAAACGGTTGCCATATGAGGCTATTGGAGGATGATAGGTAAAGCATTCAGTTATGTCATTTAGATTCTGCTATTATAGTCAGTGCTTTTGGATTTTTTGTACAATATCTACCTCAAATGGTTAAAATATATGATTAATTTATATGATTTAACTAATCTAAGCAAAATATATACTTTAAGCCAAAACTATGTACAGTACATGCAGTGTGTGCATTGTATTTACCCAGGCTAATCTGAAAATTATATAATATAATATAATATAATATAATATAATATAATATAATATAATATAATATAATATAATATAATATAATATAATATAATATAATTAATATAATATAATATAAGTTAAACTAAATACATTTTTGTGTAAGCAATAAAATTGTATTATTTCAAAATTTTTGCATATTTATTTATTACTTTATGTTTTTTTTTTTTTTTTTGCATATTTTGTACCCAAGGCTAATTATTACATAATGAAAACCAAAAAAGTTATCATTTTAAAAAACATAAAAACTGTGGGCTCCTAGGCTAAAAATAAAAATAAAAATAAAAATAAATTTTAAAAAAGAAATAATAAAATTAGATTAAATAAAAAAATAATTAAATAAAATCAAATAAAATGTATTAAATAAAATAAAAAAATAATTAATTAAATTAAATTAAACAAAATAATAATAATAATAATAATAAAACTAAATACATAAATAAAATAATAATAAATAAATACTAAAATAAAACTAAATAAAAAAGTTATAATAAAATAATAAATAATAAATTAAATAAAATTAAATACTGTCTCTTTATGTGTACAGTTGATTGCCTACCGTTTTCATTTTCATCTTGTCCGTTGGCCTCTGGTGTGCCCAGTCGTGTACCTTCCTCTGGATCCTCTGGGTAAATGATAACGGTGTCCTGCAGGTACTCAGCAATGCTTGCTGCGTGTCCCTCACCGTCATCCAGTTTCCTTTTGGCAAAGAAGCTTTCCAGCTCTGAAGAGGCATCAATCCCCTTAACTGCACAAAGGAAGTGGGAAGAAAAAGCCCAAATGAATCCAGTGGTTGATGCTCAGTGTCATTGGAAAGGACCAAGCTGAACATTAGGACATTGGCCACTCTAAGTGTGATATAGTGGAGACCAAACCATTAGAAGGCCTTTCAAGGTGGAAGTATTTATTTAAGTTACAACATAATGGCCACTTCAAAGACTAATAGGAGCCAGCTTGATCATCAAGCACTCTTTAAGCATCCTCTTGCATGTTTGAAAATGCTTTAAACATTTCCAGCATTATGTGTAATTGGGTTATATGGCAATTAGGCATGGCGGGGTAACTGATCTCACTTTGTATTGCTCATCGTATACATAAAATCGGACCCAATAATCTAATAATGTATCATGTGTTACGCGTAATTGCTCAGAACAAGATTTTAAACCTGATTTTTCGTAAACAATAGGTTTTTGGATGCTTTATGGAGAGCTACTAAAAGATACAGACTGATGAACAGACAAGTGCGTCTTATAAAGAAGGATTTATACATTTAAAAACATGAGGTAATGTCGGCAGATAGCTAATAAAATAACACAAGTTCCTCTAAATCATACTTTTTTTCTTCGTATGACTGGAACCTTTGGGTAAGCAAATGAAAATGTTATTGTTTCTTTGTAATCAATTAGAAAGTACATGGACTGAACAAATTCGATTTTGGCTTTAAACTCAATTTGGCTGCAAAATGTGATTTGGCTTGCACTCGTGCTCAACTTTAGAATGTTTCCTTTCCAACTGCTGTGGACACGCATGAGGGGAAATGATCTTAGATGCTCAAGTGTGATCCACAAATGCGCTTACGTTAAAATATGTGAATATGTTTGAGATTTAGTTAAGTGTATTTATTACTACTTAATGTTATTGATCCAATGGATCTAAATATAGTTATTTATTATGCATCGCTGCATGAATATTTCAATCTCTGAATTGAAATCTCACCTGTACCATTTCCAATTCCATGAAGAGAGATGTCAGGGCTCATGGAGTTGTACTCAGCTTTTCTCTCTTCTGAAAAATACAATTAGAAAACCACCATGAGCTACAGCAAAAACAATTCTGCTGCTTTTATGAGTTTCCAAAACAGTTGTCCAGGTCATGTTGTTAGTGATGTATGTAAAGACGTAGACATCACCAACTAATTATTATTTACAGCTGAAGTCAGGATTATTTTATAATTTGTTCCTCTTCTTTAAATATTTCCCAAACGATGTTTAACAGAGCAAGGAAATTTTCACAGTATGTCTGATAATATTTTTTCCTCTGGAGAAAGTCTTATTTGTTTTATTTCGGCTAGAATAAAAACAGATTTAAGCTATGTATTTTTTGACGGTCTAGAGAACCATCCTCATACAATAACTTGCCTAATTACCCAAACCTGCCTAGTTAACCTAATTAGCCTAGTTAAGCCTTTAAATGTCACTTTAAACCAAATACTAGTATTTTGCTAAAACGTTTAATAAAATATTATGTTCTGTCATCATGGCAAAAATTTAAATAAATCAGTTATTAGAAATAAGTTATTGAAACTATTATGTTTAGAAATGTGTTGAAAAAATCCTCTCTGTTAAACAGAAATTAGGGAAAAAATAAAATGGTGGCTAACAATTCTGACTTCAACTGTTGTATTACCATTTTTTATGCTGTTTTTAAGTCACCAAATTGTCCTCTCTCTAACATCAAATATATTAATTATAAATGATAAGTTCCATAAATTATCTGGATTTTCCCCGTATATAAATCACTAATATAAAATTATTCAGCACTGAAACCAAATCTGGAGCTTAACTTACAAAATAACTTATGATAACAGTCTAAAAACTAGTAGACCCAAATTAATATGTCATAGAAAAATATTACATACAGAATTTAAAAAAAAGAGAAAAAAATGTGAATTTTTTTGTTGAAATTTTGTAGGTTGTAAATTGTTTTTGCAGTATTCTGCTTGAATTTAATTCTTTTATCTTTAAAATATAACTAAAATATTATTTTATTAAAACACATTGCCTATATTCACCTCAAAATGGATAAAAATATTCATTTTCAAAATGGGGTGTGCTCAATTATGCTGAGCACTGTATATGTTCAATAACATTAGCTTTTATTCTCAAAGGCCCCATTAAATGAATCAAAATAAATAGTAAGGATATATTTACGTAACAAAGAAAAAAGTAGATTTTACACTCCCATTCAATCAAAAAGAAAATAATAATAAATTCAATACATGCCCTACCCAACTTTATTAGATCCATGTAACAGTGTGCAGAAGGTGTAATTGAATATGACAGCACTTTGAATGATAAAAGCGAATTCACAATGCTAAAGAACATCCTATGATAGGACGAATTATAGCTCAAAACGTGCTGACAGCAGCTCAGAGAGTGATACGCTTCTCTGCTAGCGGGGCTTAAGAAATCATGTCAAGGTATTTAGGGAGGAGAGGAGGGTGGTCTGAGAGGAGTTTGCTCATATACTGCTCCTATTGTGTTTGTTCCTCCTCCTCCCCCTCATGTGACCTCGTACCGGCAGTCACAAGTATCATAAGCTTCCCCCACAAAAGCAGGATATACAGCACCTCTTACACCACAACGCAGGGAGAAAACAAGGGTACTCCAGACTCCTGACACACACGCACTCGTTCGCCTTCGTGGCATTAGGACTGTTTAATTTCAAAACTGCCTTGTACTTCCTTCCTCATTATCTAAGCACGGCAACCCAGAGAGCTTCTGAAAGTTGTCAAATTCTCTCACTTTTCACCACATTTAAGAGACGTCTTTCAAAGCAGAGAAACCATTGTGAGAGCATTGCTTCTGGAAGGGACGTTTTGAGCATCAAAAGCTTTATTAGACTTGGACGCCTTTCATTGAACAAAGTTTTACGAAACAAGGCATTTGCTAATAATACGGGGCTTGCCTTCGCGAAAGCCCTTCCTGATGAAACTGTCTCCTCCTGCGCCGCGCAGATAAAAGTGCAAGGGCCTGAAGCCAGTGAAATTCTCCCGAGTTTACAGCATTGTGCTTTCCTTTGAGGTACATTGGCTTAAAAAGTTCTTTGGGAGGGCTAGCGATTAGCGGAATTAGCGCGGGGATATTTTAAGGTCATATTAAGGACTGGATGCTGAATGTGGACTTGAAGAAGACAATTGGTGGAATCAGAGATTCATTTCGAGTAAATCAATGTGTTGTCTTCGAAGGACAGTAAAGTACAGTTTCCTCAAGTGACAAAATGGCAACTACATTAGAGTCTCAGTTCTGCTTGTGGTATCTGCAGGTCCCTTGAGGTAATGGTGTGAATTTAACCACCGAATCACAAGAGGAGTTCCAGATATCTTATTTAGTGCAAAAGGATGCTTTGTTGTAGTGGTCAAACTATTTTTACATAGGCTTATAAGTATGCTTGCAGATGCTAGAGATGCAAGTGTTGACGGTGATATAAAGATAAACAAATTAACATACATAAAAGACCACTTTGAATGTATTTATTGAAGTTATGGTGTAAAAATACAGTAAAATTATATTACATTTTATTTTATTTGGATACTGATTTATTGTGTTAAAATAATGTGTTAAAAAGAATTATTAGCACCCCATTTTTTTTTAAACATTTCCCAAATGGTAATTAACAGAGCAAGTAAATTTTCACAGTATGTCTGATAATATTTTTTTTCTTCTGGAGAAAGTCTTATTTGTTTTATTTTGGCTGAAATAAAAGCTGCTTTTCATTTTTTAAACACCATTTTAAGGTCAAAATTATTAGCCCCTTTAAGCTATATATATATATATATATATATATATATATATATATATATATATATATATATATATATATATATATATTTTTTTTTTTTTTTTTTTTTGTCTTCTACAGAACAAACTATCAATGTACAATAACCTGCCTAATTACCATAACCTGCCCAGTTAACCTAGTTAACCTAGTTAAGCCTTTAAATGTCACTTTAAGCTGTATAGAAGTGTCTTAAAAAATATCTAGTAAAATGTTATTAACTGTCATGATGGCAAAGATCAAATAAATCAGTTATTAGAGATGAGTTATTAAAACTATTATGTTTAGAAATGTGTTGAAAAAATCTTTAAAATCTTTGTTAAACAGAAAATGGGGGAAAATAAACGGGTAGACTAATAATTCAGGTGGGCTAATAATTCTGAATTTAGCTGTTTATTGGAAAGAAACGACAAAGGACACATTAAATAAATCAAAATAATAATATTCAATATATTTTAATGTAACAAAAATATATTTTTTCAAATAACTCACTTTTTTACTTTGAATCAAGTAAAGAAAAAATACTTCTGTCTTTACAAAAAATATTAAGCACATAGGTGGTTTTCAATAATAAGATTACTGACTTGTTTTTAGCACCATTTGCACCATTTGTGCTGCACCTCTGATAACACAGTTTTTCTTCATGAAAAATGAAGCAGACAACTAACGGTATGTTAAACCCCACTGTCAAAGCATATATAGAAGATCTGAGGTGCATCTTCTCTAGCAACCACAGAGCACTGGTGAAAAGAGGAAGCACCACACAAGATGATTCATTGTAACCTCCTTTAAGATGCTACATTTACCAGAAAATACCACAGTGCACTTTTCTCCAGCTAGCGCACTGATGCCTTCATATTTAATCATAAAGACAAAATAACACAATGCTGCCAAAGGCGTGGCCTTCAAATAAACTCCGATGACATTCATTAATCTAGCATATCATGGTGTGAACATCAACTAAACAAAACACTGTTCAAGCGAATGACACGTCCCTGAAGACCCTGCGACTGTGACACTCTCTGAAGTTAAGTGATGCATATGCTTTAGTCATTAGCCGAGACTGATTGCTGGGGGTCGGGGTTTTTTTCCGTTCAGTTTTTTTATATTTTTTTTCAAACCGGGCGACTCGCATGAGTTCTCCCTTCACTCTGTAACTGTCAGCCAGGCCCAGGGAATTGTGGGCCTATTATGTATGTAAATGGCCATCATAATGCTAAAAATTTCATTTAAGGCTTTTAATGAGTCGTCAGCAGGGCAGGCTCATGCTAAATGATAGCTCTGCGATCCTAATTAAGAAAATTTGTCTTTAAAGCCTCACTAGCTTGGGTCTTGTCCGTGATCTAGATCGCTTTTGGTTTTGGGTGGGTGAGTCAAAACGAATCCAGAAAGAAAGGGGTGTGGGGGCCGAGATGAGGCACAGAAGATTAGGTGTAACCTACTTTGTGACAAAAGTAGGAAACCAAAGTAGAAAAGTGAGCTAATGCTCTAAAAGTTGCCATTACATCAAAAATGCCAAACAGCTGCTAGGTGTTGGCCTGGTAAATAAAGCTGCTCTGTCTTGGTCATAGTAAAAAAATCCAAGTTTGATTGGACTAAAAAAAAACTTTATACAACAGTTCAGTCTGATATTCTCATTTCTAACTCTTACCTGAACCATTCAGCTCCCCGTGGCGCCAAACATGGGCTCCTGCCCCATCCTGGCTTTCATTTTCTTCGTCACCCCGGCAGGAGAGCAGGGCATGGGCTACCCGGGGTGAAGCCTCCAGACTCGGGACACCTGCTGGACTGCCTTCACCCTCAGATCCCAGCAGTCTGTCCTCATCGTCGGACCCTGAACCGGCATCCACCACGTTTTCATAGCTCAGCACTGAGGACAGAACAGAGGCTAGGTGTTATTATTCAGATTTACCCACATCTCAAGAGAGTTTTGTGCAGTCTTAAAGAGTGTTTGCACTATGTCTTTCTGCAAATTAAGATAATATGTTAGATATAATGTGCTAATCCATTCAATATATGTTTATTTCTATAGGTCTTTTACAATGTTGATTGTCAAAGCAGCTTAACATAGAAGTTCTAGTGAATTGAAACTTTGTCAGTCCAGTTTTCAGAGTTGAAGTTCAGTTCAGTTCAGTTCAGTTCAGCGTGGTTTAAATTTCACTGCTGAAAGTCCAAACAATGAAGAGCAAATTCATCGATGCTCAGCTCCACAAGTCCCAAACCAAGCAAGCCAGTGGAGACAGTGACAAGGAACAAAAATTCACCAATTGACAGAAACAACAAAAAAAAAACTCAAGAGAAAACAGGCTCAGTTGGCCAAACTTCTCGTGCAGAGTTGCAGTCATCACTTTTCATTTAGTGTAACATATATTGTGTAATGTAACAGCTATATGGCTACATTTAGACTGTTAACTTTTAAAAAAAACGTGCTGGATAAGTTGGCGGTTCATTCCGCTGTGGTGACCCCGGATTAATAAAGGGACTAAGCCGAAAACAAAATGAATGAATATATATATATATATATATATATATATATATATATATATATATATATATATATATATATATATATATATGAGTGTAGGTATAAAACAACAGAGCAAGATAAAAAAATGTAAAAACCTGCACAACTCTGGGGGTGAGAGGTGCTGAAGGCCTAATAAACTATGAAGCTTACATCATGGGAACAGCAGTTTAACGTTCAGGTTCATTTGCAGTTCTTCCCTTGCCTAATACAGCATACATCTCCCCAGGCTCCGCGAGCACCTTATCTCAGAGGCACACTGCCAAAGCAGTGAGAACTAGTGGGAAGTTTCTCTAATGGTTAGATTAAAAAGCCTAATTGCTGATTTCGGGACAATTTTCTCCCTCTTCTGAACACAGAGTTTTGAAAAACAACAAACTTTCTCTTCCATCCGTGCTCTATTTCCCAGTTCGTTGGCGTCAAATGGACTTGGCCGGGCAGCAGAACGCTCCATTCCCTCCTCCGTACCTTAACTACTCCTAATCTCTCCCTAGGAGCCCCATTCACTTTAAAAAATGCCAATGACGTCTTTTTTTCACAGGTTCCCATGCAAAAAAGGCTGAGCGCTTCCCTTTGGCGGCGTTCGCCAGAGGACGTGAAGATTAGCCGCACGTATCTGATCATAATATGATCTTTGTCTGATCCGTGGGGCTGCATTTGCTCCCCCGGACAACTGCGCAACAGGTGCAAATTAAAAGGGGAACCATCTCGGGTACAAGGGATGGTCGAAATGCACTGACCCGGGCTGAATACCAAAGAGTGGGGTGAGGTGGTATGGTGGGGGTGAGGGGCGTGGGACAAAAAGCTTTCTAACTAAGAGGTGTGACCAGCGGGATTATTTAGGAGCGACTTCAGGCCGAGGGTGAAGAACCCCCTCCTTCAGTGAAAAGGAGAAGGCGAGTGAGAGAAAGCAAAAGAGAGACATAAAGGGAGTGGTTGAAAGTAAGACATGAGAGGCTCTTTGTGTGGTCCGAGTATACCTTGGACGTAAAGCAACTTTATCTCGCCTGCTCTGTTCACTCAAAGTCTCGTCCTTACGCTCACACACAGCCATTAATTCCTTGGTCTTTAAGCCAGCGGTAAGTGCACTTCACAACGTCTTGCTCAGGTACCGTGCAAAAAAAAAAAGAAAGCAGCCCTGAATTTGGGTCCCAGAGCTAAAAAGCTGCGGCTAATCATTCACAGTTTGAATGGTGGGAGTGTTCTGGAGAAAAAGAAAGAAGTGGGAGGACTGGGAAAAGAATCAAGAGGATGAATGCAGAGGTCAGAGCTGAATATTAATAATAGTGAACTGCTGAGTGGTTTGACTTTAAGCCCACACAAAACACTAAAGTCTTCACATTACATTTTACTGTTCTTGCATATGCTAGCCATCCACATTCCTAATGACATAGCTTGAATACTTGAGTGGATGCTTCAGATTGTTTTCGTACAGAAAGTCAGTATGGTTTTGTTCTGAAAGCATGTTCTAATTTTACTGTAATTGCATAGATTCTCGCACAACACAAATAGAAATGGAAAATGCTGAGGTTTGAAAACCATTTTGGAAAAAGGAACAGGCATGATTTGACTTCTGACGGGCAGATACTTTGCTTTTGAGAGCATGTGTGTGTGTGTGTGTGTGTGTGTGTGTGTGTGTGTGTGTGTGTCTGTGTTTGTGAGATGGGCACTCAAAGCAATCCATCAAACGATTTCCCTCTAAGGTCACATGGGTCTGACAGATGTGACCGAGATATTGTTTGGCAATCGGCACTGTTTGTGTGGGAGTAAAAAGTCACAATAAACTAAAAGGTGAAAAAGCACTAGCCATATCAAGTTTGAATTTATATATATATATATATATATAAAATCTTTGTAATTATTAAATATGTCTAGCATTTTCAGAACACTTATAATCTATCTGTTATTCATTTGCAATTGTAACTTAGATTTTAAGTTTTTTAATTATTTAAGTTATTTTATTTATAAAATGTTCAATATTTTTGTATTAAAATAAAACAAGTCAATTAGTTTTTTAAAATACTTTAAAATATTTTTATAGGTTGTCAATTTATCCATCAATTTACTTAAAAAATCACTTCAAATCATGTTAGGATAAGTATGTTTAATTTGACATAGTTACATTTCTGTTACGCTGAATGACAACTGAACTCGTTTTCAAGTTATTGGAAACAATAAAGTGCATTAAACTTGCATTACATATATAAAATACTATAACTTTTATACACTTTAATTAATACCAACCCCAAAACATGTCTCATCTTTGACCCTATAACTAAATCAGTCCAGATTAGAAGTAGACTCCTGCGGAAACTTTCTGAATAGTTTCAAACTAATAAACTTACCAATACCAATGCTTTTTAACATACAAATACATGTAACTTTATTTGGGATCTACCAATCAAATGTGTTTTCTCCGAGTAGATATGCCCCCATTCTAATTCGATTGGCTGCCATTTTAGTGTGTCACTCCAGCAGCTGTCCTGCCGTATAATTCCTGCAGTGAACGGTCCATTGTGCTCACCCTAGAGACAAAGAGGCCACCTCTCCTCACTCTCTCACTCGCCCTGACTTCTCCCTTCTCTCTCTCTGCTGTTTCATATTCTCAATCAACCCCACCTATCGCTCTTCAAGATGTCCTTTGAGCATTTCAAGATGCTCCTGAAAGTCATCCTTACCAAGAACCCAGCTATATAAAAGCCAAATACATAACTAAACAAACATTTAACATTATTACGGAAACAATACCTTGTGAAGAGTCTCTCCACAAACTGGAAGAGCTTCACACATTCCATAGCCTGGAGTTGTACACGAATACACACACATGCACGCATGATCTTCTGAGCAGTTTAGCTGTTTAGACAGGTATGTGTGTGCTCTGTCACAATCTCTTACAATCCTCTCATCTCACATGCGGAGTGTGTTCCCAGCGCTCGGGGGAAAACTGCAGACACACCTGCAAAGCCACACTGTCCATTGGAGACATTTCACTGGTACGTGGTGCAAGATGATTCAAGCACAGTTGGTTCAAACACGAAGAGCTCAACAATCGTATCCATCTGGAGTCTACGACACCTCCGCTGGCTCGCACACCTTTTTTCGCATTCCCTGTTCACAGGTAATCTGCTATCTCCTTTTCGTCTTTTCCCCCTTCCTTTCATCTCCTTTCCTAGCGGATGAAACAGAAAGGTGAGTGCGTATTCCACATCCATATGTGCGAATCAGCCTGCCGCAGGTCTCTCTCAGGTGCCTCTCTGGCACGGTAATGAAACCCGGCGGAACAGACGGTGGAAAATAACTGCTCTGTTCTCTCCCTCTCTCTCTCTCCTGTGCGCATCACCTGAGTGAGCAGTGGGGGAGGGGGCGACTAGGTAAGGCTTCAAACAGTTGAAAAAAGGTCGCTGCCTAGTGGCTATAGCCTGGAAATGATCCATGTAAATCAAATCAGCCATCTTTCATTCATGCGCAAAAAAAAGGATGAGGGAGGGAAACTTTTACCTGGTTCGCATTTCAAAAAAGAGCTGAAAGGTAAAGTATGGAATGAACAAGCAGTTTGATTCAATCTTGAATAATGTTGTTTTTTTTAATTCAGGAGAAATGATGCAGTTTGAGTTGAAAATATGTCATGTATGAAGTTTTAAGTCTAAAGTATAAGTCTACAACTTAAAATAATTTGGCAAGAGTGGTATTCTGTCTTCCTACTTCTACAGACTGAAAAGGAAATTTTATGATGTTCACCTGTTGAATTTGCCATGTACAACTTTTTTCACTTGTTGAATTTAATAATTTGCCATATATTTTGACAAATTTTATGTCTAAATAATAAAACTGAAGTAGTCTATAAAAAACAGGCTAATTTGACAAGTGCAACTTTTGCCTACTGAAAAACACAAAGACATTCCTTAAAAATATTTCATAAAATATTTTAAAAAATTATAATAATTCTGTTTAAATATTTGAATTTTGTTTATTTTTCAGAGTTCTTAGTTTATATTTCAGAATTCTTTGTATGGAACATTTTGAGGAATATAAACAATAACCTGGTCCTGACAAGTTTCCTGTTTTACATTTAAACTTTCCATAGCTTCTGAGAGTTATGATTGAATCACTTCTTGTTATAGATATGAAATAGTTTGACAACAAGCAGGAAATATTCATGGGCTAATGACAGGACCACATTGAAATTGTCTATATTTTAGAATAATTTGTTTATATTTTTAACAAAATAAATAAGAAAAAGAAAATTAAAGATGAAAATAGAGGCATACTCCAGCTTCTAAATTACTTCAAAGCAAAGACACATGGACCTAAAGCACTCCAAAACACTCCCAATGACTACAGCGTCT